CTGAGAAGAAGAGTGAAGACAGGGAAGCGGAAATGTATGCACAGCATGAAAAGACACTTCTCTGTTTTTACAGGAAGGCTGTGGTAGTCAGTACATAGGGAATGTAGCTTCTTGGCAATGTTTTGCAGCACAGATGCAAGTCAGAGACATCTGAGATCTAGTCTTAGCTCCTTATCTTGGGTATTATTGGGGCATTATTTAACAATTGAGCCTCAGTCTTCTCACTGAAAATAACAAGTTTAAAAATTACACCTGTCTGCATTATGAGATTGAAGAAAAGATTAAATTAAATTATATGTGCAGGGAATTCAGTGGATAGCCTAACATAGTAAATTGTGAAAATGGTAGCTACCTATACAATAAAATTATTAGCAGCATTACTAACTTTAATTAGGAAATGTTTTTCAAAAGTGATCACTTTGAATTTAACTTGTGTGTCATCTGATCTGGAAGTATAATAAGGGTATCTAATTCTTTCTGGTTTAGTGAGTCAAACAGAAAACCAAAACAAATTGAATCATTCAACTGGTGTATTTAGAATTGCTGATGATTATAGCATTCAAGAAAGTCAGCGAAACACAGAAATTGCAATTCAACTGTTCTTGAAAATCTCCAAAATCAGTTTTCATTTGTGTAGTCTAATAGTGGGTAAGGTTTATTCAATTTTTTTTAAAAAGATGTATATTCAGAACCCCTTTTCAAAGAAGCATCAAGCAAGCCGAACACAGAGGAGATAAAAGATGCTCACAGGAGGAGGGTATACGAAATTCATTTATGTCCCGTAAGAAATCACGAGATGAACGTATGATGTTTGCACAGCTCTGTATGATTTTCATAGGAACTTCGTGACATCAATACTTTATTTCATCACATATTCGCAAGCACAAAGGAGAACATGCACGTGTTATCCTCCAAGTTCCAGCACTGATTCTCTCCTGTGTAAGCAGTGCTGTTGGAAGACTGGTTCTGACGATGAGTAAGATATAATGTTAGTAGCAGAATTGTTGGATCTGTATAGAAAATTAATTCAAATAATACCCTCCTCATCAAAACTGGACAACAGGTGAATATATATGTATAAGTTTAGAAGAAAATTTTTAGGTTTTTAATTTTATTTTATATGTATGAGTGTTTTGCCTGCATTTATGTGTACGTAACCTGGTACCACGGATGGCAGGCGAGGTTGTTAGACCCCCTAGATAGCTGTGAGCTATGGGTGCTGGGTACTGAATCTAGGTCCCTGGAAAGAGCAACAAGTGCTCTTAACCAGTGACCGTCTCTCTGGCTCCTCATCATGTGAGCCAAAAAACTCTAGAACACAAGTTGACAGAGTCAGCGGTATCAAAGGTCTCTGTGTAGCATCCTTTGTGTTGACTGTTGTATCCCCACAGTGCTGTAAACCAGGAAGACTGTTTGCTGACAATTTATGCTACCAGATACCAACCCAGGCCTCTGCCTAGCTTTACACTGTCAACATTCATGGAAACATGAGCAGTTTACGAAGTCTCCTAGGATGCTGAAGTTTGGATTGTAAAATATGAGATGGATAGATTTCATATTTTTGTTGCAGATTGTTTCTCTTTTCTTTTTCAAACTGCTGAGCATATTTTTTTAAAGGCAGGAAATGCAGCTAGTGTTTGTTTCTAGCATGGCTTCTGTTTTGAGATTTCTTCTTTGTAGGAGAAATGTGTTGCCCAGCTGTCTAGAATCCCAATCAGGATATGGTTTCAGCATGAGCTATCTTACAAGAATGATTTTAGCTGCTTATAAACAGAATAAAAATGAGGCTGGGCTGTTTCATACAATTTTTACCCACAGAAGGGACCCTGTGGCTTAGACCAATGGGAGCAATACAAAGAAGTGATGTAATGTTTAGTTCTGTGTTTTGCATAGTCAAATTAGTCAGGAAGCAGAGCCCTTAAAAGATTCTTTACAACAGGAACTAGTAAAAAGAACTAGTTAACACGGAAGAGTTGTTCCCTTGAGCTTATAGAGAAACAGTTTAATGCGTACCAGTCTTAATTTCTCTACCTGCAGCATCCACAGCAACACACATACAGACAGGTACATATACCACAAACTCATACTATGTGCGGTATGTACACACATACACACGTGTATATACCCGCACAGAGATATATATGCACATAGGTGCAGACGCATAGGTATGAACACACATATATTCTTATTTCACAGTTATTACTAGAGGGATGCCAGAAGATGAACACTGGCTCATGAAAAAGAACAACAGCAAAATACGCTGAGGAATTGGTCCAGCTCTAGGTCCAATTCCCAGCATCCATGCTGGGGGCTGGGGGGCATAACTGCCTGTAAACTACAGCTCAATAGGATCCAATGCCTCTGACTTCTGTGGGCGCGAGTGCTCACATCTATGTACCTACACATAGAGACATGTTTTTTTTTTTAGACAAGCAAGAAATATTCAAATCCAACCTTTATAGAAATTTTAGAAGAGACAAGTGTTTCAGGTTTTAATGTTTTGTTGATATAAAGTCCCTGTGTACATTTGATTACATTCTCTCTAAAACCAGAAGTAAATCAGCAGTTCTTAAGATAGATGGGATTTTAGACGGAAGATGGTAGATACGAATACACTATTATAAATTCAACTACCAGTCTAGAGTGGTGGCACACACCTTTAATGCCAGCATTCAGGGAGGTAGAGGCAGGCAGATTTTTGTGAGTTCAAGGCCAGCCTAGTCTACAAAGAGCATACAGCACAGCCAGGCTACACAGAGAAACCCTGTCTCCTAAAATCAAAACCAAAACAAACCAACAAACAAATTTCAACTACCCCACGTTAGGAGAACACAGGAGCAGACAGACAGGAGGCTTCCTGCAACAAGATACTTACAAATTGGGCCTTGAAAAGTAAAAAAAAAAAGAAAAAGAAAAAGAAAAACAAACAAACAAAACAAACCAGAAACAACGGCCATGGCCCAGAAAGTTTGAGTGTGCAGAATGAGAAGGAAAAGAAGGAATTTGAAAGCGAAGAGAATATGCAAAAACCCTGAAAACCAGCAGTGTGCAAAGGTGTGAGGGCAGCAGAAGAGAGCCCCAGGGACTATCTCAGTACCGAGTCCGGTACTAGCTAGAAGCTAGCTACGAAACCGCCTCACGGAGAATCGTAAGACTTTCTGAAGGGCCACCACTGAAATATTTTTAATTTCATTGATAGCTTATCTGAATCTGTCACATTACTAAAAGAACACCACATACGTTGTTTAATGTTATTCTCTAAAATATTTTTGATTCTTATTTTTTATTTCTGTATCTTACATGTATGTGGGTGCTATAGCATTAAGCATGTGCACCGTGTGTGTGTGTGTGTGTGTGTGTGTGTGTGTGTGTGTGTGTGTGTGTAACCCAGGAAGGCTGGATCCTGGGAAAAAGTTACAAGCAGTGATGAGCCGGTGGATGTGGATGTTGGAAACCAAATCCGGGTGGGTCCTCTACAAGAACAGGAACTGCTTAGAGCTGCTCACCTGTCTCTCCAGCCTGTTTTCAAATCACTCCTGTCCATCCCACATCCCAACATCTAAGCCTAATTTTACTGGGGGAAAAAAAGAACATGAGCATACAGTGTTTAAGTAAGGTGTCAAGGACACTGGCATGTTAGGGATGGCTGGTCTCCACCCTGTTTCTAGTTATGAAACGCGTAAATGGATTTAAACAGCACCCTTAGGTCACTTAGGCTCCCCACTTTTCTTTTCCTACTTTCGTTAGCTTTCCGTGACTATACTTTCTGAGAGTGGCTTCAGGCTCTTCGAGTTGAGCTCTTAGTACACCACCCATGTACTTCCTCGCATCCCAAGTGCTGGCACTTCGTATTAATGAAGTGACCTTGTCACAACTTATGAGCTGCTCTTGATCATATCGCTGCTGACTGCTGGCCATTGTTTGTGTTCACCTTCGCGCTCAGTTGTGTTTTTTGTACGGTTTTCAAGTATGTAATAACACATACATGCAATGCGGATGTCACATAAAATCCTCTAACCGCGCTCAAATTTTATGTTCACTCATCTCTTCTTCCCTCCCAAATTCCTTGTTATCACTAATCTTTCACTATCTGCATAGGTTTTCTGGAATACTGTATAGTTTTTTTTCTGTATGCTGTTTTTAGACCCATCCATTCAGCAATATTTAAAGTTCTCCTAAGTCTATTCATGGCTTAACAGGTGGTTTCCATTTATCGCAGTAATATTCCATTGTATAGATTTACCACACTTTTTAAAATTCATTCGCTTACTGAGACATCTTATTGTTTTCAAGTTCTTATACATCGCCTACTGAGGCTAGAACCCAAGGTGGATTATGCATGCTAGGCAGAGCTCTAATCTCCAAGGTACATCCCAACCCTATGTTCAAGCTTGGCCAATTATGAATAAAGCTGAAGGTATTTGACTGGCAGTGCAGAAAGGCTCTATCAGATAGTAAGAACCTATTTATTTATGTAAAAGTATACCATAATGTCTTTCAAAATGGCGTGCTGTTATATTTCCACTGAATAGGTGTTAATATCATCTCGTTTTTAATTGCATTTCTTCAATAATGCACATACACATATTTCAGAGTTTGTTTGGTTATTTTACATTTGTGCTTTGAGTTCTTATGTTTTCCATCATTTTTTTTATTATTACCTTCATTAATACATTCCTCAATATACCCTAGGAATATATTTTCAAAGCTGGGCTTTTTTTTTTAATTTTATTTTATTCTTCTCTTTCCTATTTTTTTTTTACTTTGCTTATTCTACTCATTTATTTAACATGAGCAATTTACTTTATGTTGTATGTATCTCCAGGTAACACTGGTTATTATTTATTTCTCTGATAATAACTTAGTAATTTCTTAATTGCTATACTCTCTTTTCCCCTCCTTAAATTACTTATTGCTCTCTGTTCACCATGAATAGCAGAGTCTGAGCACTGCTAGAGATGTAACTTCTGAAAAATGTCTGAAGTAAAGAAATCACTTACCTTGGTTGACAATAAATCTTAACTTCTGTATTGTTGCCAGATTGCCACTAACTCGATATATTCCATCAACATCTAGGCCTAAAACCAAAATAGCATATTTCATATTAGCACACAGAAGAACTGAGAACATGAACAATCAATAAGGAAGTGACTAGAACATGACTATTGAATATCCCTTCTCCACAGAGAGGATAAATTTCTATGACCGCAACTAAAGCAATGTTCAAAATTTTAATTCTCGATTTTTAATCAAAAGTTGCTGAGACACTCAGCATCAAGTACAAGTTTCATTAAAGCAGCAACAATAAAACACCCCATGGGGTTGCATGGCATCTTTAAGATTATTCCTAAGGCAAGCAGGAAGCAAAGTTGGAAAAACAGAAAAGAAAAAAATAGGAAAAAAAAAAAAGAAAAGTTGTATATGTGTGTTATTTGGAAAGATAAAATAAATGGCATTCTCAGTTGTTTTCCTCTTTTCTCTTTGTTCTCATTCTGTTGCTCTTCTTCTGCTCCCTATGCTTCTCCTTCTCTTTCTCTCCATTCCTAATTGTGCCCCATTTTCTGTCTGTGGTGATCACTGTCAATGCCACTTGACAAGTTTGACCTACAGAGTAAAAATGTTATTCTATATATGATTAGTTTCTAGCATGTTCATGTAAGATATTACATCATAAAAGGAAAATACAGGAAATCTTGGCCTATTGGTATATTAGTTTCAGATAGTTTTGAAACTGGTTATCAAAATAACTTATCTCGAACTGGAACTTGGATAATCACTTATTATTTTTTTAATTTTTAAAATTTTATTCACTCTACGTCCCAGTCATAACCCCCTCCCTCATCTCCTCCCAGCCCCACCTTTTCTTACTATAACCTCCTATCTTCCTCCCCTAATCTTCAAAACGGGGGGGCCTCCTGCCCTACCAACTGATCCCAGCCTATCAAGTCTCATTAGGAATGCCTGCATCCTCTTCCTCTATGGCCCAGCAAGGCCTCCCCTCCAGGGGAAGTGATCTAGGAGCAGACAACAAAGCATGTCAGAGACAGCCCCTGCTCCCCTTACTGAGAGAGCCACATGGACACTGAGCTGCCTATCGGCTACATCTGAGCAGATGGTCTAGGTCCTCTCCATGAATGGTTCTTGGTTGGCTTTTGGAACACATTTGCTTATCATATCTAGTTATTTTCATGACCAAGTTTGTGGGATTATTAAGAAATGAGAAAATATAAAGAGATGCTTGTTCATGTATGATTATTAGCTTCACTAAATGTTGATGTATAATTTTTGTGCTAGGAATGTAGATGCATTTTTGTGTCCAGGCTTTCAGAAAACCCTGGATGAGATTACTGGCCAAGGGCACGGGCCATTATTCCAGCATGTTCTTCATGGAGGGGGTGTTAAATCATTGTTAATCATGGTGATTTATGATCATAAATGTTAAATAAATTGGAGGAAATTCATGCTATTTTGTAACAAAGACTTTACAAAGATCCTTATTGAAATGAAACTACTTCTTTCACTCTTTTGCCATTTCCATACTTCTACACGTTATACATTAGGACTTTCTGTGTTTTATAAAACATTTCTTCAGTAGCTGAGAGGAGAATAAGGTAATGTATACCACAGATATTGGTGACATAATACAAAGCAAATATTGCCTGTGGTCTGAATTCTTCTATGTAATGAACTAGAATAACTAGCAACATAGCAATAAAGTGAAATTGCTATTAGCAAATGTATTAATTGTTGTGGGTTTGGAGTTCTAGAGTAAGGCTAATGAACAATACATTACTGAAACACTTTCCCTTTCTGAGAAGTACAAACTTTGAAGAACTGGATGAGGTGAGACAGCTATCTGTATATAAAAAAAAATCACCTAAGACATAGTACATATTATAAACCTCTATTTTTTCTTCCCAGTGTATAAACTACCTCTGTTGACTTAAGGGAACCCACTGTGTTTGCCCAAAGTACAATGCACATTTAAAATCTTAAATGTGACAATCATTATAATTAAAACTTCCCTAATACTGGATTTCTACTTTTACTACCGGATCTAGTTGTCCTTATGGTTTTAAATTTAGAATGTGAAAAGATTAATTAAGAGTAATTTATTAATGACATTTAACTAACTTTTCTTATTGTTTCATCATCCAGAACTTGGAATTTTATCTTAATATGAAAACTTTTAAATAATGTGATATGATTTTTAAAATTTGTACATTGTTTTATATTTCTTTCAAATATTTTCTTCTTTTCTGAATGCATAGACAACTGCAGATAATAGTTTTGAATTCTCTAAAGTCATTATTGGTGCTCCCATACTGACTAAAGAAAAAAATACAAGAAAGCAATTTGGGGTTATTTAAAGAGAGTTGGGATTTAGATGTAGCCAAATGTCATTCAGAATTAAGAGCTATGAGTAATTTTACCTGTCTACCAATATAAAATTTGACCAAATGAAAACTGCCCTAACTTTTCTATAGGTTATCAATGTTTTAAAGGAATTCAGAGAATATTTTTAGAAAAAAGAATCATCAATGAAATAGGTGGGTCTATGTTCTCCAAATGACAGATTCCAAATTACCTTTAAAAGAATCAGTTAAAGTAGTATTAGTTAGAGAATTATTAAAGACGAAAAGTTAATTCATATCTAGTAAAAGCAAATACATTGACTGGGCATTTGTTTGGTTTTGTTTTGCTAATTAGTTGTACCTTTAAATATCAAAGATAAGTGAAAACAAATTCCCACACAATTGAATACTCATCAGGACTTTCCTTAAGCCTCATTTTGATATGTCTATCTTTTCAATACAATGTAAAATACAGTACATTTTCAGTTATTGTCTAAGGCTCATATTATCTTAGATGTGTTTGAAGTATCTATGTTGTCTTGCGCTGCACAGTGAACTTCAACCACAGAAATGCTTTACAGTGCCAAGCTTTGTTTTTCTCTTGTGTAAGTTGAAGCTGCAGCAAAAGAAGCATTCGCCTTGGTCTTTTAGAAATTTCTGCAGAAATTATTTTTCTTTAAAGTTCAGTAATGGAAAACATTTGAAAGAGTAGTGTGGATTGGATATGTTACATATGAACAACTGGAAAGCACTGAGTGTTTAAAGAAAGCAGCCTTATCCTAAATTAATAACCTATTTTCTTTTGGGACGAAAGCAGAGTGTGTTAGGGATGGAGACGGAGCGGGTAATTTAGACCTGTCCCACTACTGTGGCTGTGTGACTGAGTCATTGCTGAGAAACTGTTTTGTGGCTTCAGCTAGAAACCAGAGAGTAAGAGGGAGTAAAGTAAAGCATATTAGATGCAATATAGACGTAAGGACACAGCTTCTAAGCCCTTGAGATTCAGAGATATGACCGTCACACACCTTGCAAATAATAATAACCTCCGGTCTTAGTGGCTCCTGCTTTGATGGGTTCTACCCTCGTTATCATACTTCTTAATTTTTTTAAGTAAAGTGAAAATGACAAGGTGCATATTAAAAAGCAGAGCACTGCTTACTTTTCCAAAATACTCTGGACTCTTGCAATGAAGTTTAGTAATTATGAATTCTATAGGTACAGTCTCGAGGTTGACTAGCTCTCTGGAGTCGCTCACAGCAAGCTTCAAGCATTATCTGAATTGCAGTTAATCACGTGTCATTCCCCTTTTACTCCAAGAACTTTGAAAGCTTTGCCAAACCAAACCAATGTAAATTGGTGGCTTTGGACATCCTTTTCATGACCACATTATCCTTGCTGGATTGGGAACTACTCATTTTGGAAATAAAGTTAGACTTGGTATGAGTTTTAAATGAGTGGTGTCTTCAAGGCGCCCGCATCGTGCTTTGGTAAAGTTTAAGACAAATTACTTTGAGAGTTAGCTCTTTTCAGTAAATAACATGAGTGAATGCTGACAGAGGTTTTCCCTTGCTGTGCTAGGAACACATTGGGAACATGATGAGACCAAGTCACTGCACTTTTGTTTTAAAAAGATCAGACTGGAATGAACAGAACTACACAGATTTCTGAGAAGAGAACCACATTCTCAGAGGTATCATTTGCTTACTCATCAGCTGAATTTTTTTTAATTGTCAAAACAGCATTTACCAATGACAGAAGTCACTGGGTGTTGCTATAGGGGATTTAAAGAAGTTGTCCCTTCCTTTTCCTACAGACAAAGCATAAGCTGGGATAGAATTAGTTCAGCCACAGTGCTGGCAAGGTGCTAAAGGGAGGGGGCTAAGTATTGTTTAGTCTCGAGTAACTTAACCATGTGTGGCAACAATAGAGAAGGTCAGAGCAACTGGCGCTCGTATTCCATTTTCATTCTCTCACGGCTTCACTTTGAACTATGTTTTTGATTCATAAAGGTTTGTGAACTGTAATTCTTAAAAACTATCTAATCTATCTGGACCCAGGGGTCTTTTCTGAGACTGATACTCGAAACAAGGACCATGCATGGAGATAACCTAGAACCCCTGCACAGATGTAACCCATGGATACCCAAGTGGGTATCCTAGTAAGGGGAACAGGGACTGTCTGTGACATGAACTGAGTAGCCTGCTCTTTGAATACCTCCCCCTGATGGGGGAACAGCCTTACCAGGCCTGTATCAATGGACCTCCCGTATCAATGGACTGGGGGAGGGGCATGGGAGGAGAAGAAAGAGGGATAGTGGGATTGGGAGGGACAAGGGAAGGGGCGACAGCTGGGATACAAAGTAAATAAATTATAATAAATAAATAAAAAGGAAAAAAAATCTAATCTGAATGACTGTTACCTTTAAAATTGATGACATTAATATTTGTTTCAGTTTCATAGGTTTTCACTTGTCTTTCTTTCTTTCTTTCTTTCTTTCTTTCTTTCTTTCTTTCTTAGATCAAGTTGATGATTTGGAGGAAATTGCTTTTTTCCTCTCAAGGTTTTATTTTAAATTATCATTAAATTGTAGCATTAATATCTCTCTAAGAAATGCACTGTACTTGGGCCTCTATTGCACAACACCTGAGCTTATCTACCATCTCTTTTCTCTCCTTCCTTACAACATTAAGGATCAAAGCCAGACAAAACCGTTGTGCCTGGTA